TTCGAAGGACCAAAAAAATGTACGAATGTTTTAGAGAATAAGCTAGATGAGAGCAATGCGGGACTGTAATCGCATATATGATTTTACTTTGATTAAAAATATAATATTTAAACCATACAAGACCAATTGCGTATAAAAAAAGCACCTACCTTCGTTTTAGTATTCTACGGAGTAAAGGGCCCTTCCGTTTCCAGGTTCTTCAGGTTTGCACTTCCACATACATATATTTAGCTTTTCATATTTCTAGTTTTAGAACGATTTTCACACACCAAAATTGCTAATTTCCAAAGAGAGTTATTGTAACCGCGTGCTACTGCGTTCGCGGACGGTGTCGAAGAGAGTGAGACAGAAGATCTTCCGTCTTCTTTGGTGCCCTTTTTTTTATTGGACTTGTATGTTATTTAAACTAATACTTTAATAATAAAATTGAAATTATAAATTAAAGTTGTTTGTACAAAAATTTTTAGTAACAATTTTTTACATCTGGCAACGCATAGCTACTTTGTTGGTTGGTATCTATGTACTCACAAAATACAGGTGTGCAGAGATAAACAAGTGTGTAACCAGTGGCGTATCACTATTATTTGATTTTTAATTACAATGGAGTAGCCTGTCCAATCTTAACATATAAGTTTTAGTGTTTTTGTAGACGTAATAACTTTAAAATGACTAGGTTGAACCCCACCTTATTGCATATTCATGGATAAAATTATTCAATTTTATGTAAGTAGGTATATTTTTTCCAAATTTTTCTTTAGTATTGTAAGATATTTATCATGTTGGAACTTAGTACCTAGTAGATACTAACAAGTGGCGTATTTAGGGGGGGGGGTCCGCCGGGTCCGGACCCCCCCGGGCGCACATATTTTATTATTTTTAGTTTAAAAAAAATAAAAACCTCAAGACTGTCAACGTACTTTATTATTTATTAATTATATTTAAATATAAAATCATTAAAATCAAAAATCAACTACTTACGTATTAAAGAGAAAGAGGTGGTTTGGCAACCCTGTAGGTATATCGTTCCTACCTCTTTCTCGTGTCGTTATGATCGAGGCGCGAACAGAAATAGAACTATACCATGAATAGATAGCCCGTGCGTGAAAAAGAGTGGCGTCTCTTTCCTTATTATAATAAAGAAAAAGATGCCGCTCTTTTTATTTAGTTAGTTTTTTTGGACCTCCCCTGGAGCTAAATCCTAAATACGCCACTGATACTAACTACTAACACACAACAAAGCCCTAAACAACTCGTCACCCTAATATAACAAGGTTGTAGGTTAAAAAAAAAACGAAAAATTTAAGTATGTTTCTACAGGATTATACGTGGCCTAGGCTTCACATACCACTTAAAAATAATTCTATAGAATGTAAATTCTATGTATACATAGAGTATATATATATATTATATTAGTTATTTTCAAGTAGTATGTCAAGGGTGGATTACATAAAACCTTGTAGAAGCATAAACTCAAATTTTTCGGTTTTTTTAACATACAACCTTGTTATATTAGGGTCACGAATAGGCAAATCTATGGTAGATTTGGTTTTAAAAATGTATTTATTAAATTCAATTTATTTAATCTTTTTTACTCCACCCTAATGATTATAAAAATGCACTGACTTTTTTAGAATACGATGATTTTTTATTTCTCCCAATATTTTTTTTGTGGAGCAATAGTAGTGAATAAAAGTAGGTATGGGTTATGAGTTTTTAAAATAAAATTGAACAATCAAACTTGTGAAGTTCGATTGAAATTATACTTGTGAGTCTCGTTCCGAAGAGATATTTAATTACTATGTAGTAGCGCCACCTGGTGTCTACTCTTGCCACTATTTTACAGATAAAAGAATTAACTTCTATGCTCTGTCGGTAATACAGTTTACATTCATTACAGTTTAAAGTACTTTCAAAATTGCAAAGGGTTGGGATTTAATTAAGTTAATTAACTTGGGTTGGGTCATATCTCTTCGGAACGAGACTCACAAGTATAATTTCAATCGAACTTCACAAGTTCGTTTGATTGTTCAATTATACAATTGTGAGTCTCGTTCCTCGAGATATTTAATTACTATGTAGATGTTTAAAGAATTGCAATTTTGAAACATTAGTCCTGTTTAAATAATTAAAACTTTAATTCTTACATTTCTTTATTTTTCCTTCAAACTACATTTTCCCTAATAAGCTTAATGTTAAAAAATTATATTATAAATTGCTTCTGCAAATGAGAATCATCAATAGGACGATTATAAAATTTGTTAAATGTTTCAGATGAGCGTGACCAACCAGCTGTTTTTCTAATAGTTTCTAAAGAAATACCCCTCTTAAATGCCGCCGATGTACTTGCATTCCTGGTCGAATGAGGTGAAAATCTGGTTGTATTAATTCCGGCTTTGTTAAGACAACGTTTTATCCATTGACTTAATGTTTGTGTTGTTGCCTTCTTATATGGGTTTCTTAAGGTAATAAACAAATAATTTTGTTCTGATCTAATTCCTTCTGTAATATTTATATATGATAATATAGCAGAAGCTAAACATATTTCCGGTTTTTCTTGAAAAAATGGAATATTTAAATTTGGTTGAGGTTTACCCACACCAGAAGTCTTAATTCTCTCATCTATTAATATTTTCAGACCATTTTTGTCTCTGATTATATTATTTATTTTAATTAGACCCATGGTCTGTAATCTGTGACCAGATACTAAGGCTAATAAAGTTATTACTTTATAAGAAATTTGCTCTAAGCTTAATTCTTCATTTGGGTACCATTTACTTAAAAATTCTAGTACCGGTTTTGGTTCCCAAGTGAAATTATATTTTGGACGTTGGGGGCGTAACTTAGACAGGCCTTTTAGGTATCTCTTTACTTGTGGGTCTTCACCTATATTATCCTCCAAAATTAAAGATAAGGCTGATCTATAAGAGTTAAAGCTGCCATATGATAATTTTTTGTTTTTATTATTGTATTGTTCCTGTAGGAAAATCATAACTTCGACCTTATCGGCTTTATATGCATTAATCTTTTGTTTCTTACAAAATTCCCACCACAATTTGTATGTTATATCATACTGTTTCATAGTACCTTCTGAAATAGACGCAAGGGAAGTATCTAAACTGATCTCAGGTATACCTTTATTCTTTAGGGCTTGCCTGATAAATACCCTGCCACCAGGGTAAGGCTCCTTCCCATTGGGTGTTCCTGCCTGAAAGGAGATGATAGTAAGTTTTTTCCCAAAATAATGGGTTCGTTTGATAAAAGTTGTTTAAATATTGGATACCAAGGTTGGGTAGTCCATAAGGGTACAACCACAATACCTTCTGCTTTTTCATCACAAATCTTTCGCAAGGTTCTTAAAATTAATGAAAATGGAGGAAAAGCGTAAAATTTTAATTCTGACCAGGAAACTGTAAAAGCATCAATTGCTTCAGAGCCTGGATCCCTAGCCCAGAAAAAATACCTTTTACATTTGTTATTTGCACTTGAAGCGAACAAGTCAACTTCTGGTATCCCAAACTTTCTAGTTAATTTATTAAATGATTTTTTATCCAACTCCCATTCTGTGTTTAGTGAAACTTTTCTTGAATATTGATCTGCCTTATTTAATTTAGTATTAATGTATTTTGCAAATAAGCATATATCTCTTTTTTCGCACCATTGCCAAATTTCTTTAGCTAAATTGTGCAAAATAGGGTATTGTATGCTACCCATCCTATTTATATATGCAATGGCTGTCGTATTATCAATATGTAAAAGAATATTAACAAACTGTAAGTTACTTGCATAACATTTAAGACCATAAAAAACTGCAAGAAGTTCTAAAAAATTTATATGACTGGCTCTCTGCTGTTCATTCCACCAGCCAAAAGAACTACTGTTTTTACAATAAATGCCCCATCCTTCTAAGCATGCATCACTATAAATTTCTAAATCATAACTATCTTTTTTAATTATATTATAAGATGTTAAAATATTATTTTCCCACCAAATTAGATCTTCTAAAAGGCGTTTTTTAATTTTTATCGAACTATTAAAATTATTGTTGTTTCTGGCTAGAGCAGTAAATTTTTCCTTTTCAAAGCTTCGTGTATAAAGCATACCATATTTGATACCTGGACAAATTGAAATTAAGCAACCTATAAATTGTGCAAATTCTCGTATTTTACAAACAGCCAATGTTTTATAAAATTTTACCATCTTTAATATTTTTTGACGTTTCTCTACGCTTAAAGATATTTGCATACTGTTACTATTTAATATAAATCCCAAAAAAGAACACATTTGTGAAGGTATAAGGGAACTTTTTTCATAATTGACTATAAATCCAAGAGATTCTAATAGATTTAAAACAATATTTGTATGCTTATTTGCTTCTTCAAGGGAGCTGCTTAGGATTAAAAAATCATCTAAATATATTACGCAAGTTATACCAGAATTTCTTAAATTCGCTAATACAGGTTTCATTAGCTTTGTAAAAAGGTATGGGCCTATAGATAGTCCATTAGGAAGGCATGTAAATTCGTACAATTTATTTCTAAAATTAAACTTAAGATATTTTCTAAAATTCTTTTTGATTGAAACTAAAAAATATGCATTTTTTAAATCAATGGTTACCATATAATCACCCCTATTTATTAATTTATAAACAGTTCTTAAATCTTCCAATTTAAAATGTGGGGCTTTAACAAACTTGTTTAAATTTTTTAGATTTAAAATAAACCTATCTTTTTTATTTTGTTTCTTAACCAAGAAAAAAGGTGATACAAACTGATTTGGTTCATTTACTGATGGGACAATTGCTCCCATCTGTAAAAGTTCTAAAATAGCACATTTTGTTGCTTTATCATCATTAGGGTTTGTAATTTTTCTTGATCTACCATCAACAGGGGTAGAATCAAAAGGTATCTGAATACCTCTGATAATATTTAAAATTATTTTATTATCAGTTATTGTTTTCCATGTGGTTAAAAAATCTTTTAACCGCCCTGCCAAACCTACCTCTAATGCCTGCTTACATATCTGCTCTTCGATTTTTGAGGAGTTCCTCGATGCTGAGCAGATCTCCTGTAATGAGTGGTCTTGTACCCTACTTTCGCCCCCACCCCTTTTGGACGAGTAGGGGTTTTGAAGTTTTTTGAAACCATAGAATTTTTGGGTTGTAATATGTCTCGACCAGTTTTCTTCAATACCATCGAAGACTTAATTTGTTCATCTATCTTTTCCCCAAATAACAATTCAGTTATGGGGTTTTCCTTTATTACTTCCTTTACGTCCTTTGCTAAGCTTGGCATAATTAAGTTTCGTCGTCTCATTGACATTGAATGAAAAACCTCTCCGAATAGTCTACCTGCATTTGAAAGGTCTTTTAAAACTTCTGGGTCTTTATTTCCGTTTTTAATTAAGGTTGTCATAGCCAATCCCAAAGCACACAGGCCTGTTCCAAGCAAATTTTGTGGTGGATAAGATAATAGTTATCCGTCTTCATAAGGGCTTCGCTCATAGTAATACTAATTTCGGGGTTAATTTTGGGAGCTACAAGAGAGTTACAATTCTCTGGAGTTGGGTATTTATTTATTAATTCTGTTTTTTGCTCCTTAGACAGACCCTTCTTAAGAATATATTCCCATCTAGTTTGAATTTGGGAATGTATATTTAGACCCTTATTTTTGGCACTCTCAGGTTTTTCCCCTAAACAGTCCACTAACATGTCCTCTTCCTCCTCCTCAACATCTGTACCATAAAAATCTGCTGAATCTAATGATTCATCAGAATCATATTTGCCTAGAAAAAAATTTGGTATTTAGATTTAAGCATTTATAAACGTAGTGTTTATTTAAGGATTTTAAAACCTCATGCTCGTCTAAGGGTTTTTAGACCTAATGCAACACCAAGGAATTTTAAACCTTATGCATATAGCAAGTCTTTAAAAGAGGGTTTTAAAACCTCATGCGTTCTTTCCGAGGGTTTTAAAACCTCACGCATCCATAAGACTGCATTTTATGAAGGGTTTTAAAACCTCCTGCGTTTTATCTGAGGGTTTTAAAACCTCACGCATTTTAATATTTGGCTGAACCCTAGGAATTTTTTGGCGAGTCTATTTTAAGGGTTTTAAAACCTCATGCGTTTCTTCCTGAGGGTTTTAAAACCTCACGCATATTTGAGACTGCCTTTTTGGAGGGTTTTAAAACCTCCTGCGTTTCTTCCTGAGGGTTTTAAAACCTCACGCAATTCCTCTCGTGCTTACCTATTTTCCGCTTTTTTGCACGATGGCCGCCATCTTCTTCTTGTACCGGCAAGCGTTCTAATAACATTTTCTCCAATCGCTCCATTCTTTTCTCCAAATTTATATTCTTATCTTCTTCCGGACCTCTTTTCTTCATTTTGGAACTCATTTTTAAGATTTTAATATCTTATTAAAGCTTATTTTTAACCGTTTTCGAAATGGCGTGGCTTTTCTTTCGACACTAGGTAAACGTAATGAATGTAAACTGTATTACCGACAGAGCATAGAAGTTAATTCTTTTATCTGTAAAATAGTGGCAAGAGTAGACACCAGGTGGCGCTACTACATAGTAATTAAATATCTCGAGGAACGAGACTCACAATTGTATAAATGCTATTTTTTATAATTTTACCTTTTTTAAATTTTTCAAAGATGCTTAAAAATTTAATGTTTAGCCTAATAAAAGAAGAATAATATATAATAAATTTCCTACAATTTTTTTTTATAAAAACAGTTTTGTGATTTGTCCCGTCTGTATGCTTGAAATGGCTCTACAATTAAACTCGTTCATCTTTAACTAAATGCATGATTTTGTTTTAAGGAAAAGCGCAAAAAATTCATGACCAGCACCTGCAAGCAGTTGCAGTAAAACGAGGTATTATTTACTTTTCACTTTAACCATCATGACTTGACATGCATTATGGTCATTCTAGAGATCTGGTCACTTCAACGCCAGTTCCTTTCCCGAAACCAAAAGTCGTTTTTTCGCGTAAATACCATGAAATACTATGGTTATTAAACTTAACCGTGGTTAATAGTTAAGGCATTTTTGCGTTTAGAGTGCGTTCAAAAATCCTAACTATGACGTCACAAATACCAGACCATAAAACTATATCGCTGAGCTAGTTATTCAACGTGGTTAATAGTCTTTCTCTTTTTAATATATATTTTTCTCTGTTTCGATCTGTCAAGAAGTTGTTTACATTTGAAATTTAAAATATTTTAAGTAGGTACAATTGCTCTTAAACCGAATTTAAACTTTGTATTAAAATGGTAAACGGGGTGTTGTCAGTAAAAATAAATGATAGGTTGTTCCATATTGTGAATCTCCACAAGTGGAGGAATTATATGCAGGTTTTTTATATTCTTCCTTATTTTGTATTAAACATGTAGGAGAATTGGATAACGTGTATTAAAAAAACTAGTACCTATAGAAAAAGAATATACTAGGTATAAAAAGAGGCAAAGAAATTTATTTACACCGGTAAAAGCATAGAAATTAAATATAAATAGGTACAAACACATTTCAAAAATTATAGGTTATGAACAAGTAAACAAATGTCAAATGTTAGAAACCTAACCATGGTTATATTTATGAATTAACTGTGACGTCATGACTTATTTAACCGTAGTATTACATAGTATTTACGCAAAAAAACGACTAAAGACGTCAGCTACTGGCAGTACCAAACAAAACGCGCACCAGCTACAAGAACGTAAATCTACTTCTTTTACCGTAGCAAAGGAACTGTCTCTTCGGATAAGGGAACCGTCGACGCCTCCTCCGTGAGTATATTACGTAAATTTTGTTTTGTATTTTAATTAGTCATATTTTACAGAACGCACTATAGTGCGTTCTGTATACAGTGATGACGAAGATGTTTTACATTTGCCATCAGACGATGCGGAGGATTCTGACAGTGGATCTGAAGTGTCGGACGCCGAGTTTGCCAAGACTAAAAGGCCCAACATCACAAATGAAGAGAACCGGAAGTGTCAGAATCGGAGTCTACCAATACGCAAAAGCATAATGTAGATGAGAATGAATTGGAACCAACCAGGCAATCTGAAGTGTCAGAATCACAATTTACCAATACTCGAAAGCGTAAGACTTCGAACAAGGATAAACCTGGAGCAGGCATACAACCTCAAAAAAATGTGCCAATTACTACGCTTTTCAAGAAACCAAGTTTTTTTTATTGACTTTTAGTCTTTTTTTAAGGACTATTTAGCCAGCTCATGATTATTATTATTATTGTTTACAACTACAACACCCAAGGCTGTGACCGGGAATCGAACCCGGTACCGTTAGGCGCAGATTGCTTACATCTCTGTAGCTCAACCCACTGCGCCATCCTCGGCCCCAAACCAAGAGTGCGTTCGAAATGAGAGCCCTGCTTAAAATACCCCATAGAGACCTATACAAAATAATCTATCGGGCGCTACCGGATTCAATATGTGCATTTGTCCATGGTTTTTTCCGGATACAGCCCGATAGAAAATGTATAGGAAATTACCTATAGGCACACCATAACTTTTACATTTTCCCTATAGGGAAAATGTATTGAGACCGATAGAAAATAACTCAATGAAGGATATATAGGGATATCCCTATAGAGCAACCATAAAACATTTGACAAAATTTTATTAAAACCTATGGGGTTCTATAGGAAAAAACCTAATTTCTATATTTATGTGTATTTTCCCCATTGAAACCGATAGCAAATAAATCAATGGTGGATATCCCTATAGAACAACCATAAATCTCAAGTATGGGTCCTATACAAACCGAACAACCCTATAGAAACACCATACATCCCGATACAAATATCTATCGGTTTGAACAGGGTCTCTATGGGGTATTTTAAGCAGGGAGTGTACTTTGGATATGGTATAAGTATAGGTATATAATCACGTGACTTTACATTATACCTAACCTCCTTGTTATTCAGATACATAAACCGTAACTCGAAAGTATCAAACATAACCTTAAAAGACCCAACATCCCAGCAGTTTCTAGACAGTAAATCCATGTCAGAAAAATTTGCAGAGCAGTTCGACACAGCCTTTACAAATGAAGCATATCCCATCACAGCCCTACCTGACCATAGTAGAGTGGAAAACTCGATCGAAACTGTGAATTTTACAACCAATAAAATCAAAGAAGCACTTAAAAGTATGAAAAAAGACTCAAGTCCTGGACCAGACAAAATTCCAACAGTTTTTCTTCAAAATTGTAGCAGTTCAGTGAGTCCTTTACTCGCAGAGGTAATGAGGGAATGTTTGGACCAAGGAAAGATCCCAGAACTATGGAAATATTCAATTGTCACGCCACTATACAAGAAAGGAGATCGACACAGACCAGAAAACTACCGGCCTATCAGCCTTATATGCAACCCTCTAAAATGCATGGAAAAAATCATAGTCAAAGAATTGATATCGTTTTTCCTGGAAAATAACCTTATACCCTCTCCCCAACATGGATTCCTACCAAAGCGTTCAACAACAACCAACCTTTTAGAATGTTTAAACGACTGGACAAAAAACCATGACAACGGTCAACCAACAGACGTAATCTATCTCGACTATGAAAAAGCATTTGATAAAGTCCCACATAACCTTTTAATAGCAAAAATAGAACACTATGGAGTCAGAGGAAAGCTACTTGCCTTGATTAAAGAATTGCTTGACGAAAGGTATTATCAAGTTATAGTTAACGGAGAACTTTCCAGCCCCCACAAAGTGAGCAGTGGCGTTAACTTGGACAATCGTCCAAGGATCAGTCATTGGCCCAGTTCTGTTTACAGCATTCCTTTTCGATCTGGTTAAATGTACAAAGTCAGCCACTAAACTGTTTGCAGATGACTGCAAAATATACGCAAATCCTATAACCAGCTCAGACCTGCAGAATATCGAAATTTGGTCGAAAAGATGGGGTATGAAACTTAACGCCTCTAAATACACAGTGCTAAGGATCCGTCCAAACAACCCTAACAATAGATATATTCTAAATAATTCCACCCTGATATCAGTAAACGAACAAAACGATCTTGGGGTTCTAATGACTTCAGATTTAAAGTGGGATAGCCAAATAACCAAAATCTGTAAAAAAACAAATTCCTTTGTCTATTTGATAAACCAAGCTTTCAAAGATCACTTTATTAAAATGATATCCACGTTGTACAAAACCTACATAAGACCCAAAATCGAATACGCTTTCACTGTGTGGAACCCATATTGTGTGAAAGATATCGAACTCCTAGAGAAAATACAACGTAAAGTGACTAAAATTCCGCTAGAGTTAAAACATATGCCTTGTCCAGAGAGATTAATTAAATTCAACTTGACATCTCTTAGAGAGCGAAGACATAGAGGCGATTTAATCGAGACTTTTAAAATTACTAGCGGTTACTACCAATGTGATGTCAGAAACATTTTCCACCCCAGTCAAAACCTCCATCTACGTGGACATTCAAAAAAACTTGAAAAAGAACGATCAGCCAAGCTCCCCAGAAAAAACTTCATCGTGAACCGAATAGTCCATTCTTGGAATTCTTTGAAACAAGAAACAGTGGCCTCGAACACGAATGTTTTTAAAAATCGCATCGATATTGAGCTAAAGCAGAACGCAGAACGAATTGTTCATTACGGCATGTAAGCAGAGTCGAAAAAACCTGTTTCAACTCTAAAGAAGTAACAATAGCTTCATCGGTTTAACCGCCTGCTATTAATTGACAATTGTCAACCATATTATTATTATTATTATTATTATTTTCGAACGCCGCGGAGCATATAACTATAAACTTTACGTTGTAGTGTTCTAAAATCAATCAACTCTAAAGAAGTAACAATAGCTTCATCGGTTTAACCGCCTGCTATTAGTTGACAATTGTCAACCATATTATTATTATTATTATTATTTTCGAACGCCGCGGAGCATATAACTATAAACTTTACGTTGTAGTGTTCTAAAATCAATTGGTTTTGCTTTTTATTTGACTGAATACATATAAATATTTAATTATTGAATTTCAACCCTTTAGTTATATGGATTATTCAAGTTTTTGTGATAGATTTTCTTTTGTTTTTTAGAATTTATATTTTTTAAATAATTTATTATAATAAATTCTTTTATTTTAATGTTTTTCGTTTTTGTTTTATTGAATTTTAAACAGTTATAAATAAATTATATAAAGGTAAATACAAATTATTGTTTGATGTACCCTATGCGCATGACGGGTAAAACTTTACCAAGTCTAAAGCTTGGGCAACCGGGAGTGCACTCTGGGCATATACTTGCTGTTTTCGAACAGCTGACAGTTGCATATATCTAGGTATATACGAGAGAATTCGAACGCGCAAGGTAAACTTGGAGTGTATCCAGAGTGC